TTATTATTATTATTATTATTATTATTATCAGTATTTTCATCATTATATTCATGTAAATTTAAGTATTGTGCTGAATACAATAGATACATATTTAACTGCAGAATGTTAAAAAGAGACATGCATTTCCGATTACTACAGTTGTACCTCACAACTGATATCTCTGTGACTATTTTTTATATAGTTTTTATATTTTCAGATTTCTGTTTTATTTATTGTTGGTTTCTGGCTTTTTTGGAGTTTGCATTACTCGTTACAACTTCAATCTTGATACTAAGTTTTCATTGAACATTAAATAAAATAAAAAATATCCAGTGTAAACTTTCCTTCTGGTTGTGTGCTTGTTTCCAGAATAGAGCTGATTATTTCTGTTGACCAAAAATATAAAATAGTGTCAATTGAATATTGATAGATTACAACAATAACAATTTTAGCAATGAGGAAAGCAACAACCACCACAACATCTTGTAAATTTTTTGTGCTTTGGCAAGGGAACTGGTCGTCCACTGCCCAGCAGTTGCTTTGTGGTCTACATGTACATTAGCTTCCCCAACTGCACTCAGTGCATGACATGACAGATTTAACAAACATAATTCAGTTTTTTGATCAACAAACACCAAAAGTCTTGTTTATTTTTGATGTTTTCAGATTATTAGATAACATACAGGTTACAGATTAAATAAATGATTACAAGAGCAGCACACAGCAATCTTGGTTACCTACACAAATTCCCCATTTCATCTTCATCCCGTAGTCAGCAAACACTGCCTGCAACAAGGATGTAATACCCACCAAAGGGAGTATTTAGTGCTACATGATTTTTCTGATATAATCAATCTTTATTTGTAGTCATTCTTGCTAAAGAAAAAATTACAATTTTAATCAAAATATTAACAGTAAAAATTAGGGTACTAGCTGCCTGGAATAACCCTAGGGGCTAGCAGAGCCAGGCAGCCAGTTAACATTCATTTTGAATTCAAGTGTTGCATTGTTTCTTTCTTCTTTTGTTTAATTTTTTTCTTACATGTATATTAATGTGTAGGTACGCTATTCCTTGAGCCGAGGTAAGGAATAGACTGAAGTCTGGCACTCCCAAGGGGTTGGATACCCAAGCTTAATTTATTCCAGAAACAGCCTTTGGATTTCCTACACCTCTACTATTATCTTCACTATAGGAAAAAAATCAAACTGGCAATGGGTTCACATCTAATTTATTCCTCTTGAACACCTCATTCCATACGGCCTGTCTGATCATGAATGTCTTTGGTCTCAGCACTCTAGTAGGGGCCATCCTGTCTGGATGCCAGTAATGTCAGTAGAATTGAATCGAGGAAACTTCTTGGTCAACATTTTCATTCTATAATGGAAATGACATGTTCTAATTATGCAGTATAGTCCATCTAATCCATAGTACGATATGCCGACCCATCGATCATTGGGTAAACCCAAAGAGCATAGAGCCTACATAAAATGTTTTCTTAAAAGAAATAAAAATTTTGTCTAACAAATATTGATAGCAACTCACTCAATCCAAAATGGCCAGATGGATCCTCATCACATATGAATTGTCACCAAGATTAATTCTCTTTGGGGCATATATAAGGACCACCACATGAAAGGTCTCAATGTAAAAGGTGTCACGGCACTGTAGAAAGTAGAGTCAACATATACTTTTCACTATGCAATTGGCGAGTAAGTATTCCTTGTCTTATAAATTTGTTCTACACAACAATATACACAAGGCTACACTTGGTTAACTTTAAAAAGTCATTAGCTTTTGTCCATGCCCACTAACCAGAAGATAATCAGAAGGGTTCTTGTAGATGGTGGTCTTTGTTATAGCTTTCATCTAGGAAGGTCAAGGGCTTTTTGCTGCACACATAGCCTGGGTGTTGACATCTTGAATCTTTATTGCACAGGTCATGCTTGCCCTAAGGTAACATTTTAAGCCAAAGTTAAATTTCCTCAACATCTATCCTGCTATAATGCTACAAAGTAGTAATTTACACCCAGCATTCGTGTGGATTGATTCCTAATAACACATTACATATATAAGAACCCCTGGGCAAAGTGAGACACTGTGGAGCAGCATCAAACTACTAAGTAACTCTACTACTACTAAAAATCCCAATTTCTGATATGTCAAAAAAAACTCTGGGCTACCATGCCCTTTAAACATGGCCAGTGATATATACAAATCAGTAAGGTTCATACAAAATATCTTATTGGTTTGTTGTATCATACATTGGTTTACATTAGGAAGCACATCTACAAACCTGGTAATGGTCCACAATGTTGAGTAGGTACTTCAGGAACCCAGCATCAGTCCCATCATTGTTCCTCATTGCCCAGTAGAAATGTGTTTTGGTGGCTTTGGCTGTTTAAACAACATCACAATAAAAATTTCAACTGTAAATTAAAAAACCCAACAAAAAAAAACAAAACAAAAAAACCCCCAGAAATTTCAAACTAACACATCCCTGTCCTTTATCAGATAATTCAGGAAACCATGTCTTCCCCTCATCACTTTGAGCACCACTGCACACTTTTTTCATGTTGTGTGCCACTCCTTTAGTACTTGTATCAGGAAAGAGTTTTTAAAGTGGAAAGGCTGATGAACATATTTTGAGTGCTGCTCAGGCAAACTGAAGAGCATCACACAGTCACTGACATATTAACTATTACACATTCTTACCATGCCAGGTGTCAAATGAATTGTTGATGCCTCTTTGCTCAAACCAATTTTTCAATAATCTGAGACAGTCATGGGCCACCTCTTATGTTGTATCCTATGAGCAAGGGTGCATTTTTACGATACACTAGTCCTTGGCTACCAAGACAGGAATCCCAAAACATAACAGTGAAAATGGAGAAACAGAGTGACAGTTACTAGAACCTGTAGGTGCCAAAGCAGGATATCTCTATTTAGTGAATATAGTCAATAGGCAACAATAAAAGCACTGATGTCTTTAAAACACACAAAAACTACAACACAATTAGGCACTTTCAGTTTCTGTAAGGTGTGTTAGCAGCTGTTTTGTCATTGGTACATCTCAACTAGGAGCACTTCTTTCATCTGCACAGCTCCAATTGCAGACAGAAATAATTTTTTGTTGCTGAGAGGCAAAAATCACATAGATGACTGATAAGATGATAAAAATGGAAACAGCCTTTGAGAAAAGTGCGACAAGAGTTATCAATTTCATGGGTCTTAGCGTTCGACATACCTCATAGAAATAGCTGTCACTGGAGAATGCATGGCTGATCTAGTTGAGGCATGTCTGGCATCTGTTATACACTGAAAGATGCATTGGAATTAAAAATGAATAGAGGAAAAGAAAAGCATTGAAGAAATTGAAGGTAACAAATGAAGGTACAAAATGACTTAGCATTGTGCAAAGTGTTATTTTCAATTTTGCCCAGTGCAAATAATCTCAACAACAGTGAACATACACAGCTAACGACTAGCCGGTTGTATGTCAACTTACATCC